CTCTCATTAAATTTGAGACTCAACTGAGGTGGAATCCAATGGAGCCCAATCTCAGACTATCAGAACTGGAAAGCATTGCAGAGACCACCTTGTACAATCTCCTCATTTTACTGAGGAGGAAACAGGCCGAGAGTGAGTGTCGGGTCAGGAAATAGAACTCAAGTCTCTTGATTCCTAACCAGATAACAAAAATTTGGCCTCGTTCAGAGTTTCAGTCTTTTCAGAGGCATTCTGGACTCATAGTGTTCTTCTTCTCATCCGCCCATACTCCATCACACTCCACATTGGGAAAAATTGAGCAGTTTGAGAGGCCAAATCTTAGAAAGCAAGAAAAGGTTCACATCCCCAACTGTATCCCTTTCTATCCAGGTCATGCTGAGAACTTGTAGTCCTGGGGAAGGAAGCATTTTTCCCTCTCCTAGGCATCTTGGTCTCTGTTCCTCTCAATTTACAGGAGAGTGGACCTTACTTTCAACTTGCTTTTTCTACCCACCCTATGACATTGAGCCTCAGAAAAGTATGAGAGGCAAGAGAAGACAAAATTTTGAGGTAAAGAAAAGTCCCCTGCGATAGGGGAGGCAAAGCTCCTCAGCAGAGACTGAGGTTGTCTTCCTTCCCCAGTCATGCTCCATCTTAAGGGCCTCCCTTCCCAACTATGGATTATAGTCGCTAGAGTATGGTGGGCTCATTTGCTCTGGACCTAGCCAGAGGAAAAAAAATAAAGAGAAAAAAAGCAAGATCAGAAAAAATCACAAACAGGAAAGCTTTGACAGTTATATGATGAATTCATTATATATTTAAAGTCAAAAGCTGTACATTCACATTTTTATACAATTCTCTTTCTTCTGTTCTATTATTTATATGAAAATGGCCTATTTCATTTGGTATTCAGAATTTTAAAAACCAAATACTAAAATAAATAAATAAGCAGATGAATAAATAGATTAACAAATAAAAAAATGCATTAGGACGAGTAGGAAAGGGGAAAAAATGCAGGATAGGCCCAGGGCTATTTACACTGAAGGGACTTGCTCACAGGGGCAGGGTTGGACTTCTTTCCCCATCCCTAAGCAAGGCCAGAGCTTTGTTGTGCTGTGGTCTCCGTCCTCTTTGGCCTTCCTGTTTCTTACTTTCAACCCTTATAGAACCCTGGGAGACAGATCAGAAAGTGGTGGAGCATTAGGAGCCTACCCCTACCCTCATCCCCAACCCCTCACTGTCCCTATCATCTATTCCACCTCACTATAGTGTCACCCAGCCACTGAGCTCCACCTCCTGCCTTCTTCCTTTCTTCTTGTATTCCTGTACATGAACTGTCATCAATTCTCTAAACAGCCTTTACTTGAGCAAATTCCAGCCCAGGGCAAAGCTCTAGTTTCCTTGCCCTCATTGTTGCTGGGAAAAGGGTAGAAAGGAGATATTCAAAGACCTAAGTAAGGAGGAAAGGTAGAAAAGTGTCTAGAAGTGTCACTATGATGGATGATAGAGATAAGGGAAAAGGTGGCATGAACTTCAAAGAAGTTGTGGAATAACAGTGGGAAAGCAGGAGTCTGGAAGTAGAAAGAGGTAGCAAAGGGTATGCTGATTTCCCCTCCAGACCCTTTGAGGTAGGAATGACAAATGGAGTGGCCAACATTGGAGAGGAGGACCAGAGGTGAGGAATTTTCAGGAGAAAGTTAAGTTTTAATGAATGTGAGGAGGTAAAATAAGTGTAAAAGAATCAAGGATGAAGGAAGGGAAAGCTATTAATAATGAAACAGGGGTTCCAAAAGATACAGTGGAAGGGGTGGGTAGTGGAAAATTGGCCCAGGGCTAGACGTGGGCTGTATAAGGATGAGACAGTAATAGGAAATAGAAATATGGCAGGTCTGGTACATAAAATGGTGAATTTGGGATGCCAAATTATAGAATGGAAAGTTGCGCAGATAGATGGAGGGCTGTGTTAGTCATGAAGGAAATGTAATACTGAGCAGGAAGAGATTCTGAATGGAGAGTAGGTAGGGTTATGGGACGCCATGGTTTCCTTTAGAACATTGGTGAAATGATTCTCTCCCTAGATGATCTTACTGAAATAGTGCTTCTGAAGGTATAAAGGAAGAGGTGGATGGATGTTTATGTAGCCTAGGTTCCTCCAGGGGCACAGATTATCAAATGTTAAACGTAGAGTTTAAAAGAACATTATCCTTTTTAAAAAAAAAGTGTTTTGTGATATGATTTTAATCAACTTTCAAACACATATCCATTAAGTATCCATTAGTGAGCTATTACTTAGAATTTTGTTTGCTGATTGTTTTTCAGTGAGTCTGACTATAACCTTATTAATCATACTTTATGACAACCCCCCTGCTTAAGTTTTATGAACCCTGATGTATCTTTGTTCTTTGGCACCTACCTTTACCCTCTGATTGGTGGAGAAGACCAGTCTGTCATTATTTGGAAAAAGCTATTGGGAAAACTGGAAAGGATTCTGGTGGAAATTAGTTTTAGATCAACACCTCATGCCACAGACCAAGATAAGCTACAAATAGATATATAATTTAGATACAAAAGGTCACATCAGAAACAAACAGAAGGTAAACTGGACAATTTTTATTACATAAAATTTAAGTTTTTTTGCACAAGCGAGACCAGTGCAGCTGTGATTAGAAGGGAAACAGCTTGGGAGTTGGTGGGGGTGAGAAATCTTTGCAACAGGTTTCTCTGATAAAAATCTAATTCCTAAGATAGATAGGGAACTGATTCAAATTTATAAAAATCAGACCCATTCCCCAGTTGATAGATTGTCAAAGTGTGTGAACAGGGAGTTTTCAAAGGAAGAAATCCGTGTTATCAATAGTCAAATGAAAAAATTCTTCAAATAACTAATAACTAAATAATAACTAATAATTAATAATTAAAGCAACTCTTAGGTTCTACCAGATTGTTAGAGTTGATCAAAAAAAAAAAGGAAAACAAGAAATGTTAGAGGAGCTTCAATAAAACAGGTACATTAATGCACTGTTGGTAGAGCTGTGAATTGGTCCAGTTTTCAGTTCTGGAAAAGAAAGGGAACTATGCCCCAAAAGTTGCTAAACTGACCCTTTGATCTATCAATAACCCACTGGAGCCTATGCCCACAAGAGATCAAGGAAAAAGAAAAAGGTCCCAAATCTACAAAAATATTTATAGTAATTCTTTTTCTAGTGCCAAAGAAGTGGAACCCAAGCTGGTATTCATCAATTGGGGGAATGGCTGAGCAAATAATGGTATTTGAATGTAATGGAAAACTATTGTGCCATAAAAAAATGATGAAAGAGACGTTTGCAGAGAAATATCAGAAAATGTGTATGAATAGATGCAGAATAAAGTGAGCAGAGCCAGGTAAATAATTTCTACAAAAACAACATTATAAAGACAAACAACTTTGAAAGACTTAAGAACTCTCATGAATGCAATGGCCAGCCATGATTCCAGAGGACCAGTGATAAAGCATTTCATCTCTTTCCTGACAGAGAAGTTATGAACTCAAGTTATAGAGTAAGATATACATGTATTTATATATGATATTACACGTATAATATGTACATGTATGATATACATGTATAATATATACACATGTAAAATATACACATACATTATATGTGTATGTATATATATAAATATATATTTTCAGACACAGCCAGTGAGGGAATTTGTTTAATGTGACTGTGCTGTGTTAGCAAATCACAGATGTTGAGAAGGGGAAGATAGAGCTACTTTCCCCATACTCACTGTTTCCTATAATTTTTGGTCCAAAAGATGAGACTGGAGTTTCCCACCTATTTGAGGTTTTTTATAGTCTGAGTTTTCATCATGCATCAATGTACTTCCTGTTATAACATTGTTGCTGTGAAACAAATTGCTCCCATATCTAACCCATGGGTTTTTTTTTCTCCTGAAATCAATTAATGAGTCATTAAATCCTATATATCAGTATAGATAAATCTTTGTCAAAGGCAGAAACTCCCATGGTTAGCTATCTGAAGCTGTTCTCACCATTCACTTTAGAATTACCCAGGAACTTACCATATATATATAATTCTCTTTAGCTTTACAGCTTGCATTTAGGAATAGTTTTCCTTTTGATATGTTCTCTTTGTGAATGTTGGCTCTGTTTCTCCCAAAGAGTCTTAATAACTAACTCAAGGACGGGCAGGCATCATGTCAATTATAAATTTCTTCTGTATTTCCTCATAGTCTCTGGTATAGTCAACATGAGAGCCCTGCAGCAAATTGTCTTGTAAAGCAAAAGATTCTTTCATAAAAAAAAGGAATCACTCCCAATATATATTTTTAATGAATCTTGGATTATTATATATTGGGTTTGCTTAGAGTAGAATTCCCCTGCATTGCAATAGTATCTTTGATTGTTTCTTTGGGCAGAGATGGAGAAATAAAATGAGCTATTAAGTCATTCTTAGGTTCCAAAATAATCACCGGGTAATGTCAAGCAGAAATTGCTAAATGAGCAAGTGGAGGTTTGTATATGTGTGTTCATTTGAAGCTTTTTGAATCTGCTCTTTTTTCAGATCCAATGCTCTATTAATTTTACTTACTGATGTTACTGTACCAAGTAATAGTTTAATGTATCCTCTTATACAACCTTAAAGAACATGCTAGGGAGAAGACAGAGGGTACATTGTCTACTAGGACTCAATTAAATCTGCTGAGAGTAGAGCTGGTAAATTTTATAGGCTAGTAGATTTTTAAAATCAAATAAAATCAAAACTGTTGTCAAAACGGGTAACTGCAATTAAGTTCATTGTAGGTGTATAAATTCCTTGTATTTCCTACCAAGTGCTGTGCCTCGAATATAGTAAGTGCCCAATAAATATTTATTGATTAAGGGGTTGGTGATATTCTTGCAAGATGGCTGACTACCTGGGCCAATTAAGGGAGTGGTAACCAAACCCCTGTGTTGGATTGGGAATGGTGTAAAAGCTGAGGCTGCTGGTCTCATTCAACATGTCTTGCCTCTCCAGGTCTGACTTATCAGAAACATGGCTACCAGTGCTGTACCAAGTGACAATCTCCCCACATACAAGCTGGTGGTGGTTGGAGATGGTGGTGTGGGCAAGAGTGCCCTGACCATCCAGTTTTTCCAGAAGATCTTTGTGCCAGACTATGACCCCACCATTGAAGATTCTTACCTGAAGCACACAGAAATTGACAACCAGTGGGCCATCCTTGATGGTAAGCCTTGGGAAACAAAGGTTTTTTATGTGATCTCCTGGGGATGGGGGGGGGAGCGGGGTTGACTCTGAATGCTCTGGAGTCAAACTGGGATAAATAATGAATGGGAGAGGGTTTAAACAATAACCTTGCATGCCACAAGGCTTTAATTTTGATTGCTTTGGACAAAGGTCCTAGGTTCAAATCCTGGCTCTACCATTTACTACCTATGTAAATCATTTAACCTCTCTAGGACCTGAAGTTTTCTTTTTCTTTTTTCTATTACAACTATTTATTATCTTTAAAAGCTTACAAATTTGATGATCAGTTATGCTAATGTTTCCCTTTCCCTTTTCTTTTCTTCTTCTTTTTGCCCTTAAAACCCACTATTTGTTTTATGGGGTGGTTATCTGGGAGTGGGAGGAAGAGAAAGCATATTCAGGGAAATTATTGTAATTTTTTAAAAAGATATCAATAAAAACTTATTTTAAAAAAATTTTAAAGAAGCTTACAAATTTGAGATGTTACCATTTTAAGAAACACATTCATTAAACATTTAACAAAAACTAGTTTTCTAGTTCACCAAATTTCTTGTCTATGTTACCTTACTGTCTAAAATGCAGCCAATAGGGCCTCAGTTCTTTCATCTGTAAAATGAGGGAGTTGGGCTCAATGATATCTAAAGATCCCTTTTAATTCTAATTCTGTGATGCCATAAATATACTCTTTATTTTTTAAAGATAGAGGAAAGTCTAAGGGTTTCAGTTAAGATTAATGCCACCATGGCATAGTGAAAAGAACACTTAGGGTCAGGGGAGCTAGGATTCAAAAGCTGGTTCTAGGGGCAGCTAGGTGTTGCGCAGTGGATAGAAGGGGCAGGGGCCATGAAAAAACCAGGCAGACCAACACACTGCTGGTGAAGGAGTCAACCGTTTCAAGCATTCTGGAAAGCAATCTGAAATGATGCCAAAGAGTGACTAAAATGTCCTTACCCTTTGACCTACTCCAAGGCATAGATCCAGGGAGGTCAAAGACAGAGAGAAAAGTCCCACATACACCAAAATATGAATAGCAGCACTTTCAGTATTAGCAGAGAACTGGTAAAGTATATCTGCATCTGCTGATGACTAACTAAGCAAACTGTGGTGCAGCAATGTGATGAAATTTCACTGTGCTCTAAGAAACTGATTATAAAGAATTCGAGAAACACTTGCGGGGGAAACGATGCAGAGTGAAGCAAGACAACTGGGAAAATAATATGTAAATCAACCTCAACAAAATAATAAGAAAAAACAACAACAAGTCCCCAAATGGAATGCCATATAATAATGATGACCAAGCTTGGTGTCCTCTCCCACTCTCCCCTGCTTCTTTACATGAGTGAGGGACTATGGGTATGGAACGGGCCCTGAAGTCAGGAGGATCTGAGTTCAAATCTGGCCTCAGACCAAACACTTGACACTTACTAGCTGTGTGACCCTGGACAAGTCACTTAACCCCAATTGCCCAAAAAAAAAAAAAGTCAAAAGCTGGTTCTACTGCCTTTGTGACCTAGTTCAAGTCATTTCATATCTTTGTGCCTCAGTTTTCTCATCTATAAAATGAAGAGAGATTGCACTAGATCATCTTAGAGGTCCCTTCCAGAAGTTCCTTCTCAAAGTTGTAAAAGCTACCTGATCTTGTTCTCTTTCAAAATTCTTTTTTCCCCCTCTTTGGTGAGGCAATCAGGATTAAGTGACTTGCCCAGGGTCACACAGCTAGTAAGTGTCAAGTGTCTGAGGTCGGATTTGAACTAGGTTCTCCTGACTCCAGAGCCACTGCTCTATCCACTGTGCCACCTAGCTGCCCCTCTTTCAAAATTCTATAAGCTTTTTACGTTACCTGTCGCTGTTACTTTGTATGTCCCCTAGTCTTAGACAATATATAATTCCTTTCTTTTGTACCAGTCTCCTCGCTTTTCCAGAGACTAATAATAATGGTTAACATTTACGTAGTGCTTACTATGTGCCATAAAATGAGCTGGAGAAGGAAATGGAAAACCACTCCAGTATCTCAGCCAAGAAAACCTCAAATGGGGTCATGAAGAGTTGGATACAACTGAAATGACTCAACAACAATAAATATTATGTGCCAGGCGCTGTACTAATCTTATTTGATCCTCACAAAAATATGGAAAGATAGGTGCTAAAATTATCCCCATTTTACAGATGAGGAAACTGAGGCAAAGGGGGTTTAAGTGATTTGTCCAGGGTCACATGGCTAGAATCATAAAATCTCATCAGAGCTGTTAGGGATCTTAAAGAACATTTTGTTCAAACTCTTCATTTTAAAAATTTTAATTGGTATCTTTCATTTTCAAATATATATATTTTGATCAATATATTGATATTGATACATTGATTTTAAAAATTGATATATTTTCATTTCTAAACATATATCCTGCCTCCAGAACCTTTTCCTTGCCACAAAGAATAAAAAAGAAAGGGGGACAGCAGGCCAGGTCAGCAAAACTAACCAATACTTCTGCTAAGTCTGATAGTATGTTCAGCGTTCCATACCCATAGTCCCTCACTCATGTAAAGAAGCAGGGGAGAGTGGGAGAGGACACCAAGCTTGGTCATCATTATTATATGGCATTCCATTTGGGGACTTGTTGTTGTTTTTTCTTATTATTTTGTTGAGGTTGATTTGCATATTATTTTCCCAGTTGTCTTGCTTCACTCTGCATCGTTTCCCCCGCAAGTGTTTCTCGAATTCTTTATAATCAGTTTCTTAGAGCACAGTGAAATTTCATCACATTGCTGCACCACAGTTTGCTTAGTTAGTCATCAGCAGATGCAGATATACTTTACCAGTTCTCTGCTAATACTGAAAGTGCTGCTATTCATATTTTGGTGTATGTGGGACTTTTCTCTCTGTCTTTGACCTCCCTGGATCTATGCCTTGGAGTAGGTCAAAGGGTAAGGACATTTTAGTCACTCTTTGGCATCATTTCAGATTGCTTTCCAGAATGCTTGAAACGGTTGACTCCTTCACCAGCAGTGTGTTGGTCTGCCTGGTTTTTTCATGGCCCCTCCAATGTTGACTTTTCTCATCTTTTGTCATTTTTGTCACTTTGCTGGGTGTGCTGTGAAACCTCTGAGTTGTTTCGATTTGCATTTTTCTCTTATAAATAATCTGGAGCAGCTTTTTATATGGTATTTAGAGTTTGCTATTCTTCTTTTGAGAACTATTTTGTTCATATTCTTTGACCACTTATCCATTGGAGAATGGCTCTTGGACTTAAATGTTTATGTCCCAATATATTTTGAATATGAGACCTTTATCAGAAATGTTTTCTGCAAAGATATTTTTACCAATATATAGCTTCTCTTCTCATAGGGTCCCTGATTTAGAGTTTGAAAGGAACCTGGAGGTCATTAAGTCTGTGCCCATCATTTTACAGATGAGGAAACAGAGGCCCAGAGAAGTTAAGTCACTTGTTTGATGGTGTGAAACTATTTCAGTTTCAAGCAATTGGAATTTTTTATCTTTTGTGATTGCCACTATACCTTGTTTGGTTTAGAATTCTCCCTTGTGGTCATATTGGTGAAAGGCACCACAACTAATTCTTTTCTAATTTCTATCAATCTCTTATTTTACCATTGAAGACTCTGAAATCCAGACAAGTGAAATCACAAAATTTCAAGGCTGGAAGGGACCTCAGAAGCCATGTAGAACAGTCCATAGAAACATGAATTCCCACTTCAACACTCCAGAAAAGAAGTCATCCAGTCCAAGTTGCCCAAGGCAAACAACTAAGCATCTAATTGGGGACTTTCTCATTCCCAGGCCCCAAAAGAATCTTGCCATGCCCTCTCCTTTTACCTATACCCTCTTCCCTTACTACAGATTACAATGAAACAAACATCTGCAGCACAGCTCAATGTACTCCCAGATCCCCACCAAAGTATATTCCCCTGAAGAGCTATAGAGAGCAGAGTTAAGATTTATTAAATTTTCCACCCACCTCTCACCTTTGTTTCAGGGATTGGCTACATGATTATTTGTGTAGTGGTAGAAAATAAATGACATTTTGGTTACTCTTGAGTACCAAGGTGGGAGGGATGTCTCCCAAGAGTCTATGCACTAATGATTCCTTGATTTAACAACTTAATCTATGTGTTCTCAGAAGCCAGAGCAAAGGGACTCATATTGTAGAAAATATTTCTCCTTCATTTCTCCTCAAACTACAGTTCTTACGGAATCGTGCCTAATCGTGCTAAAGTGTGGAGGACATATTAGTCAGAAAGATGTGATCTCATGCTAATTAAAGGACTCAGTCAAAAGATCTTCATGTCATTACTTGGCAAGCCACTTCAATCCACTTTTTTTGTGCCTGACAGCTGGCAAAATCCATGTTTTCCATGTGCTCCATGTTTCATGGTGACCTAGCTTCCATTGTTCGTTCTTTATACTTAACAAAGGGGAGAAGAGATAGACATTTTTGATTAAGTTTAAATAAGGTTTTGTGGTTTTAAAGACAGGCGTTCACAAAGAGCCAGATATTGTGTGAACAATAAGATCTCAGAGCAGGGGTGGGCTGTCAAAAATGAAGCTGATGCCCAAGACAGGCCTACTCACTCTTTTTCCTCCTCTGAAGAATGATATAATGAAAACCCTGGTGCAGCTGTCAAACAGTAATGATTACTTCAGGATGAAAAGTCTTAATGCTTTTAGAAAATCGGAATAAAAGTCATATCAACTTTTACATTCACAGTGGGGAAAGTTGGCCTGCTAGTGAGATACTACTGTGAGAACATTGCATGGGGTTGACTTTGCTAATTAGCAAAAGGCTAAGATCCATCCCCATTTCTCTAGGAGATGTCATTCTAAGGCCTCTTTTCCCATTTATCAGGTCAGTTTCCTGTACATCTGGAGGCAGCAAGTTGCATATAAGTAGGTCAAAGTATCACCTTTCCAGGCAAGTAAGTTTTAATTAAAATTTCAATTCCAGTAACCTTTTATTTTTTAACAGGGAA